TGTTGGTCCAAACTACAACCCGGTTTATGAAAAACAGAATAATACTTCGAATTTCCGCAAAAAAAAAGAAAAAACTTTCCATCACACAATTTATTCAAATGCAGATTTCTATTTTTTTTTTACTATCAAGTTAGGGCACACTATAGGGGCGACAGTACTGACATCTCGCGTTGCTGTAATAAACTATAGGCCTGACTTTAAACCTTAACGTCACCGGCTTGTCACCGCAATATTTGACCTGAACGGCCATTATAAAATCACGTGATTGAGATTGCCTAATACAATGACCTATTAACACAGATAGACAGAACATCCCATTGATAAAATAGCTTTGTTTTGGTTCACTACATGTTTATGGGCCAGGGAGGGTGAGCTGTGAGAGCGGCTAGGAGTAGGGATTCAAATGATTCCACTAACTCCGCCTCCATTTTAGTATCGCATACTTGGCAACTCTGAAAATGAAACCAGAATCAGTGCTACAAAAGTGTATCTTTATCCTTATATTTTACATAATTTTAGAAAAAGATGCGGATACACTCACTGCGCACTGATTGACAAATGGAAATTGTCATAAAATACCTGAAGGTCGCATTTTGAATTGACAATTGAATAGAAGCCGCTGATTGGTGGGAAGGTGGAATTCGAGGTGGGATTTATTTTTTTGCAGCGTTGCTAATTTCCATTGAAAAATAATCGCTTTCTACGTGTTAGAGAAAGATACAAAATAACACAAGGATTAATAAGTAGTGGGGAGAGATGCGGTTCCTGGCATGTAGTCAACCGATATTATTGTTTATTGTTCTGTCTATCTGTGTTAATAGGTCATTGGCCTAATACGAAAGAAATTTGACAATGCCGAATTTTAAAAAATGTCATTAGATTTTGCAGGTACGCAAAATAGTTAGGTACCGTTTATAATATAGCATTATTGAAAAATGTGTCAAATTTGATTTGCCAGATAGGCCAGAAAATCTTAATACCGCGGCACTTACGGAAAAATCATACTTAAAACTGTCTGGAAATTGACATATACTGTCATTATTATACGAGGGTCAACCTGCCAAATTTCCATGGATAATGCTACGCCAATAATAAGTGAAAAGCATATACTCGAATGGTTTCGAAAATCGCACCCCAGAACCCAGGGCTAAGGCAACTGCTCGAATTGTCTCACCTTGTGCTATCATTTTAATTATTGACCTTTTTATCATTGTTAAGAATATGGTAAACCATTTTAGCAAACAAATATTTTTTTCCTTCAACAGTTTATTAAAACTATTATGTTCACCACTGATTTATTAATCTGAAACAATTTTCACATTACCTGTGTGTCAAAGAAGTAAAATTTTGACACATTACGGGGGATGTTTATAAAGTATGTGCCAATTGCAATGATTCTCACTGTATTTTTTTTTACTTTAATCTATCATTCAGATTAAAAAAAAAAAGAAGTGGAGGAGCAACAACAGAATCTTTTGAAAACTAAAAGCCTATTATTTACTAGGAATCTAAACACACAGAGTGTAACGAAAGGTTTGTTACATTGTTACATTACAAACTTCTAGGGATGGTAGATTTTGTAAGAATTAAATTGTTTTCTTTTATAAACATATGTCCGGAAATGCTTCGCTTTCCAGATACAGGGTGTTAGACTTTGCTTGAGCCAATTTTTTTTAAAAATAATCCTCAGAAATGCGTTGCACGGGACGAATTTAATGAAATTTTCATAGTTTCTTGACACCTACCACCTTATCTTGCTGGCTAATAAGTACTTCAACATAAACTTGATTATATCAAGTCTTCCTTGTAAAACTAATAATAAAAATATTGAGCATTTTGATGCCATTTGTGCTGTAAACCATAGATTGTCAACTGTTGTACACAATCGGAAACATCTTTCAATTAATTAACATTGACTTTCTTGACATTTTTAGTAGACTTTCTTCAACAAACTTTAATTATTATAATGATTATCTCAATTCCAGAGGACTTTTTGAATTAGCAAATTTAATGAAACTTAGTATTGATAATTTTAAGATAATTCAATGCACAAACCTAAAATACGTGCAGAGCTTACTCACTTATCAACCCCTTTAACTTTGGAAAGGTCTTTTATTGAAATTACAGATAGTGAAACTTGTTGAACAATGAAGACTCTCTTTCTCATAATTTTTCATAGAGAGGGCAGGATTAGCAAGTAATCACGAAAAAATATATCACTGTTATTATTAAATATTCAATCTGTACAAAACAAGGTGGACAAGTTTATTATTTTTTTGGAAACGCAAAACATGCCGAGCATTTTAATATTGACAGAAACTTTAGTGATGTCCTCGGGTCTCTCCGACCATGAGATTATAATTTCATCCGAGATTTCATCTTTTTATGTAGACCAGGAAAAAAAAACCAAAAACCTTTAGTTATGGGAGAATTTATAGTTCTGAAAACTTTGGACATTTTAGGCAACAGGCTGCGGAAATAAATTGGCATGGATTATTGAGTTTGGTTAACATTAGATAAATTTAATAGTATACTTGTTGAAATTTTTAATGCAACTTTTCCTGCCCGTAAATTAAAGCAGAAAAACAAAAAGCCATGGATTACCTCGGGACTAAGTAACTCCTCGGTAAATTTGAGATGTCTGCATAGGATAAGAGAATTCACTTCAAACCAAGCTTTCTTGACCTATTTTAATAGGTACAGAAATATAACTAAAGATAATTAGAATATAGGTAACTGACAACTGTTTGCGGAGAAAATCAAGCACAGCAAAGACTAAAGTTGATGTTGACGCTAACACATTAAACAATTTTTATTGTTCCGTTGCTGATGGACCAACAGCAAATTTAAATTCGCAAATTGATATAATGTAACAAGAGGGTTCTGTACCGAACAGTTTTTATTTGATACATACTGATATCGATAAAAGGTGTGGTATCCTTGGAGAGATAAAAAGTAAAAATTCCTCTTAGGCCAGCAGCAACCAGGAACATTATTTCCATTCCTATGGTGCTCGTGGAACAAAATGCCCTGAAGCTGATTTTTGCGGGAATGTCAAGCTTTTGTGCTCCAGATTAACATACTTAAAGTTCCCACTCCTCCGGGGGTGCAAACCACCCCCCAAGATACAATTTTCTAGTTTTCACTCGATATCTCGAAAACGGTACTCTTTGGTGAAAAATGCTTTGCATCAAAAAGAAAACCAATAGAATTACCTACCAAATGATACATAAAAGAATAGTGTTCGATTATTCCAGTGTCGTACAGTCAGTCTTCAAAATCGTTAGTTTTTTCTTGGACCTTGAAAATCATTGTATTTTGCTAAATATCTCGTATACAATTGACTGACTTTTGTGAAAAATCATAATAACCAAAATAAATCCAATTTAAATAACCTACAAGAAGAGAAGGTATATACTATACAGGGTATTCCATAAGTCACGGTCCAAACTGAACGAGGTGATTCTTTGGTTTATTTTATGACTAAATTTTTTTATAAACATATGTTCACAACCGCTTTGTTACCGATCTACAGGGTGTTGAAATATCAATATTTTTTTTTGGTTTTTTTTTTATAGCTCCTGCAATATTTGAGGGATTTAGCTGAAATTTGGAATATAGGTGACGCAATAGGAGCTACATGATTGCACATTTCAAACGTTTGCCAGAATTCTCAGGGTGATATGCCCGTTTCTGTCCCTGAACTTTTTGGCCGGGCGGCGCTGGTAGATCCTAAAGAACTAAATGATTTTTCTACCTTATTTAGAAACTTTATTAAAAAGATTGGCAAATACATCAAATTTCAACCATGCAATTCCATGAGGCATTAACAAACACGAGAAACAAACACATCCCAAACATACCACAAAAAGTTAATCCGCAGAAATCATGCCTCACAAAGGAAGTATTCAAAGAGGTTCAACAAAAACGAAATCTCTGGCATGAATATTAAAACAATAAATCTGAAGATAATTATCAAATCTATCAACATCAAAACAACAAAATAAAGACTTGTATTTATAGTATCGGCCAGGAGAAACTACGAACACAATCTATTAGCGAACACTAAACAATTCTATTCATACATAAGCCTTTTGCTAAACTCAAAGCACGCCAGCTTTAATCTAATAGATAAGGATACGGCAACACTGCTTAAAACTGACCAGGAAATTGCAGTGTTTCGAACCACAGTTTGAGAGTGTTTCTATTATTCTGGATGCAAACAACCTTAGGCCCACACTACCACTAAATACTTACACAATAACTGAGATAAATCACATTGAATTTACAGAAAAAGTTGAAGCTGCCATAACATCATTAAAATCCAACTCAAGTCCTGGAATGGATGAAATTCCTTCCATTTTTCTCAAAAACTGTGCAAGTTCTAAAAGCACCCCTAGCGAATATGTTAAACATCTTATTGACAACTGAGGAATTTTCAGAAGCGTGGAAGAGAGCCATTGTCACACCAATATTTAAAAAAGGGAATAAACAATTAGCAGAAAACCACAGCCCAATTAGTTTAACCAGTATGCTGTTTAAGTGCATGGAAAAAATCATAGTAAAAGAACTTACATCTTTTTTTTTTTGGAAGTAAGGATCAATCCTTCACAGCAGCATGGCTTTCTTCCAAAGAAATCTACATTCACTAACCTTCTAACCATGCTCAACGACTGGACACTAGCTGATGACAACTGGAAACCAATAGACGTGGTTTACCTTGACTTCAAAAAGGAGTCCGACAAAATACCAATCGAATACATTAAACACAAAATTCAGCATTTTGGAGTCAGGGGTGACTTGAAGGTGAAAAAAAGGAATATTTGGAACGCCATAATACAGATGCCACTCACCTGCACTGGGAAATCTGCGAATACTATGAAATAAAAGTTTCAGAGAGATGGTAAGATGGTATGAGCACAAGCCAAATCCTGTAGTGCAAATCCAAACAGACCGCTCATTTAAAGCAAATAAACCAGATTGTGTTGAAGGATAACATCAAGAAAATATGCCTACTAATAGACGTCGCGATCCTTTCAGACTTTAATGTAACTAAAAAAGAAGCAGAAAAACGCATTAAATATAAGGATCTCCAAATAGAGATTGAGAGAATGTGAAATCTGAAGACCAAAATTATCCCGGTGGTCATAGGAGTAACAGGACTGATATCCCATAACACGTTTGCAGCCATGAACGATATCCCAGGAAAACACTATCTCTTGAGTTTAAAAAAATCTGTCCTGCTAAAAACAGCGCACATTGTGCGAAAGGTTATATGAAGACACTAGACATGGTGTGCACTCGATGACTTCTGCACTATGAAAGAACATAAGAACTAAACATATGTGAAATATCGAAAATAATAAATAATAACTTGAAATATCCATTGGCAAGACCTGAAAACTGTCATAATTTCCATTAACATGCTCTTGGAGCTATTTTCCGAACTCGGCCATAGAAAAATAAAATGACATTGGACATAAGGTTGACATTTGTCATCTATTGAAGTTCTAATTTTGTTGTTGTTAAAAAATTACAATTTCATTTAAGCAATGCGTGAATATCCTCCTCCAGTAAAAGTATCGCCAGTAATTAAGGTAGGTAATTGTTAATTATTATCCAAAATGCGAAATGCTTCTTTTGGCATAAACCAAGCATTGAAAAAATACATAAAGTTGTCTGCACTTGCCCTGTTGCTTACTGAATATCAGCTTCTCAATCTGAATTTCATTTCCCCTTTTCTGAAATTAAATTTACGATTCTTAAATTCAAAGTTGATGAAAAAATTCTTGGTCTTGCTAGTTCAATCAGAAAACTGAAACAAATCAATTTTAATATTGCAAACAAAGTGAACAAAGTCACAGAAAGAGAATATTACCAACAAATAATTGTATATACATGTGGAATTTTGTTAAAGGAATAAATCGATGAAAATATTAAGACACAAAACAGAATATTGTGTCACTATACTTAGGCAGATGGTATATTTTATATTTTGCATTTTTCACAAACATAAATGTGAAAATAATGTAAATATATTACCGCAAAGGCATTACTTATTGTCAATTGCTACCGATTACCAAGATTTTTTCATTAGTTTTTCAGATACACCTTTCTAATATCTGGAATATTTTATGGAGCTTTAAAACTGCAATTCCTAAAAACGCTGAAAGCGAGTAGAGCCGATGATAGGGCTCGAAGAATAGCAGCTAGAGATGCGAGACTAATGGAAGAACGTATATTGGCCGCCGAAAGGGACTTCCAACAGATTGTTGAAATATTTGCTCCTCCACAAAGACCACAAAGTCCTCGACCAGATGTGAAAGTATCTGATCAACCATTGTTAACGTCCATGCAATACGATGTGTACCAGAAGCCCATAGATCTATCTATTCAAGGTGATCTACCAAAAAGTGGAAATCCCTTGGATAATCCTGAACCTTCTCCTCAAGATGATTTACGAAAAAGTGGGAATCCCATGGAAAATCCTGAACCTTCTTCTGATACTTCAGAAGATTAAATTAATTTCGAAATTACAAAATATGTATGTTTTGGTTAAATAATAAATGTACTTTTTAATATCCTTTAATACGACAATTTCGGGTTTTCTTAAATTGTAAAAGTATTAGGTAAAATTACTTCAACACTTGCATTATTTCATTGAGCCTATAAAATCCCAATAAGTTCAATAACCTTGAAGCATAATTCCAATAATTAATCTGGCTATTTTTGAGATTGACACATCACTCAGCTATTTATAGAATTTAAGTGCAGCCGTTCAAATGTGTTGCAGAATTTATGAATACATATATCGTAATTTTACTAGAAAACAAAAAAAGGCATTGCTTCAAAATCCTACTGATCTAAAATGGACTTGGCTTGCTCACCAATATAACATTAATAAAAGTTTCTAATTACCTGTTGCGCCATTCCAGGTCCTAAGCTACGATAAGTTACTTTCATACCACAGCCATTGCACGCGGGACATTTCTCCGGGGCCTGTCCAGTTTTGCTGCCTTTGCCTGCACACTTCTCGCAAATTACATTTTTGCTCAACTGAAGTTTGGACGTTTTCCCATTGTACATGTCCTCTAAGGTGACTTTCAACGGATGGACCGTGTCTTCGCCGCGTTGCCTCCTTCGCATGCCGCCGCCGCCTCCATAGCCGCTAAAACCTCCGAAAAGGCCGCCGCCAAATAAATGCGAGAACAAATCGTCACCTCCGAAACCTTCATGACCGCCGCCTTCTTGCAGACCTTTTAATCCGACTCGGTCGTATAGTTGCCGTTTCTTTTGATCTGAAAGGATTTCATAGGCGTAACTGATTTCTTTGAACTTGTCACCAGCTTCTGGGTTTTTGTCAGGGTGAAATTCTTTAGCAAGTTTCCTGTATTGCTGCAATGGATGAAAGAAAAAATATATTTATTCATTTATACTTATTGGTATGTATGATGGTATGATCAAGGGGCAAAGATATATCAGTTAATTTGATATTCATAGCCATACTGGATGACATAAAAAATGCATCAACTATTAAAAGTGTATATTACATCGTTTCTACACCAGTAAAAATGGGTGATTAAATTTTCATTGGGAAAATCGGATCCTATAGAGTCTAAATTCAGTAATGTGTTGCTCTTCCATTTAAACAAATACATTCAGAGAATATTTTTTATTATTGCGAGCTATAGCAAATGGTTCCAGAACTTCATTAGGGTGTATTTGGGCATCCAAATGGCCTTGGGGAAGTACAAGAGGAGTTTTACCAACTTAGAAGTTAGTTTCTCACTTCTCCAGCAAATTCCGAAAGCTGCCATCCGCCAATTCGACGCAAGACATGAATAAAATCACACATTTTTTTGGAGGAATTTGACAAAAAACATGGTATAGGCTTGTTTTTTTTTGCACGTTATACCGATGTCACAGCCTATGTTACAATAATATGTGAAAATGTAATAAATCTACTCCAAATTTACACTCTAATTTTATTTCCTATAATAAATAATTTATTCTATAGCTATTATCAACAATCCATTTTGTCAGGATCTTTCCAATTTTGTAATATTCTTGTTGTTCAAAACTTTCAAGTGAATCCTTGTAAACTTTTGGACCCACGCAGCAAATGTGATTTTGGCATGCTGTATATTTAGGGTTATGCAGTTCAAACTTTTTCTTGGGCAACATTTCTCAGTTTTTGATCATGCTTTAAATTTTGTTTTAAGCAATCGTTTTTTTATCATAAATCTTACTACCGAATTTATGTAAAGCTCTTCTAAGTTTAGTATTTTACTTTTTTTGAAAACAAGGTAGAAGGATATCTTTTATTTTAAACGAACATAATTTTCATCATCCATTTTTGGGTTACCTGTAATTTTCTTGAGGTTGTTGAGCCTACATTTCCACACACAAACTCATAGATTATTACAGACTCTTTGGTTACATATTCAACATGTTTGTTCCAAGTAAGCTTTTTATCAACAATAACTTCAAGATATCTTAAACAAGTGTTTCTTTTTTATGGTTAGGTTAGGCCACATCTACATTGTAGGTCCAAATTGCATTCTGAATATTAAATTTTAATGCCTTCAAAATCAGGTAGACTGCGTGAGGAAAGTGAGAATGCCACAGAATTGGTTTTCTCAACATAAGGAAAGTAAACTAGCATCCAACCAGTTTTTTATTGTGAAAAATTGACAATCTTAAATGCGCTTGTGTGGAATTTAATCTAAAAAATGATCTGATGGTTGTGGTGATTTATTGATCTTCAAAAAGTGACAATAAATTATTCCTAAAAAAACTGGAGCTCATTTTGGTGAAAATGAAAATAAGAATGTATTTATGACTGGTGACTTTAAGATGGAATTTCTTAAACAAAATTTTGTCAGTCATGAACTCTTTGCACTTATATCTGACACAGAAAAAACCAGAATAACACCAATATCACAAAGTTGTATAGACAATATTTTTACCAATGTCCCAGAGAATAATATCTCTGGTTGTGTAATTGACACTACAGTGTTGGATCATGCTGCACAAAAGATTGTGTTTAGTTGTAGTCAAATCCCTAAAAAAACCTGCTACAGTACTGTCGCGATAATCCGATCCCTCGATAATCCGTATGCTTCTGTAATCCGCATCGCATTTTCATTCCCTTGATGTACTCTATAATCCGGATTTTACTTGATTCAGTAATCCGAATTCATTTACATGACTCTTGAAAATAAAAGCACATTGGATTGATAGTGATGCCAAATTGATTCAGCAAGAAAATTTAATTGATGAAAATGATAGGCTGACTCGGACGATGATACGATGGAAATTACCGCTCCAGTCAGAAAAATATGTTAGGTTAGGTGTGAGAGCATATGCTTTTAAACAAATGAATGAAAAAATTTCGGAAAAGTCGTGTAAATTTTGTAAAAAAAACTCAAGATCTTTGTTTGAATGTTCAGTTTGCCACTCAGCATTTCACAGGAGCTGTGGAATCCAGTATAATGTTTTGGATAAGGAAAATTCAGTGCTAATGTTGTAACAGTGAGGTTAAGGTACCAGAGGAAATGGATAAAAGGGAGCTTCTAGCCGAAATTAAGCTAATGATACAAAAAGAATTTAAAGCTTTTGAAAGCAGAATCAATAAACAACATGAAAATGATATGAATGAATTTAGAAAAAGCATGGACTTCATGTCACAAAAATATGAAGAACAGAAGAAGCTGTTCGAGGACAGCATGGTGCAAAATAAAAAGATTGCAGAGCAAAATGGATTACTGGTCAAAACTGTTGAAACTCTTGAATACAAATTAAATACTTTGGAACAAACTGAGAAGAAGAATAATATTCTGATAACGGGAATCAGTTTTCAAGAGAACAAAACAGTGAATGAAGTAGTATGGCAACTGTTGGAAAAGATGGAGCTTAACTTGAAGAAAGAAGACATAACTGATTGTTACAGAATCAATACCAAAAATCCTGAAAAACCAATTCTTTTAAAATGTAGAAATTTTGAAGTGAAAAAAAAGATACATCAACAGAAGAAAAATAAAAATTTATACACTAGGGAGTGCAATTTTGGAGGACCAAATGTACAGATCTACCTCAACAATGATTTAACAAAGAAAAACCAAGAACTGTTCAAGATAGTAAGAAACTTTAAACAAAGAAGTAACTTTAAATCTGCCTATTGCATTAATGGCAAGGTTTTTGTCAAAAAAGATGCAGAGGGGCCGCCAATAAGAATCTATAGCCAAGAAGATCTGGAGAAACTGTAATGTATAATCTTGTTATTTTGTGTAGGATAATTTGAAAGACAAATTCACAGTACAAAATGATATTTTGGATGACTATCTAACTGATAGTGCTGCAAATGATGATAATGTTTCTAGATTGGGTTTATATAGTAACAAAGTCAGTGATTTTAATATAATTCACATAAATATATGCGGAATAAGCAAGAACTTTAATAGTATGTTATGTTTTTTAGAGGCAACAAAAATAAATTACGATATTATTGTAATATCAGAAACACACAGGTTTAACAATATTAATAATTTTGAAATAAAAGGTTTTGATATATTTTACAATAATAGTGCAATAAATAAATGTGAGGGTACTCTGGTGTATGCAAGATCTGATATTGTCCTAAATCAGGAAGTTATAGATATAAATTTTAGTAAATTCTTAAGGGTTACTTGCATTAAAAATAATAGAACGATTGGTCTTATAGCTCACTATCGTTTACCAAGTCTTTTGCAGGGTGATTATATTGTGGAATTGCATACTCTTTATTTGAATGAAATGAATCATCAAGGTGATATTGAAATCTTTACTGGGGATACAAATTTTAATACTCTGGCAGTTGATACAAATATTGTTAATCAATATATGGTTTTGTTCAAAAAATCAATGGCATTACTCGGCAGGAATCCAGTACTTGTATAGATCATATTTTTATTAAAAATAAACTTAAATATACTGAAAATGCTCACATAATTAAGTCTTCTGTCTCTGACCATTATCCTGTTTTCTTGAACATACAGTTTCCAGCAGAAACAAGACCTAACAATATCATAAATAAATCAAAAAGTTACACAAAAATAAATAATACAAAACTAAATCAATTGTTGGAAAGTGAATGCTGGGCAAAGATTCTTAACAGCTGTGATCCAAATACCGCAACACAAAATTTTATTGAACAAATAAATTTGCATATTAGTACTTCTAAACAAGACGTTGTGATCAAAAATAAAGATTTTTGTTTAAAACCATGGATAACTTTGAATCTTTTGCATTGTATAAGACACAGGGATAGATTGAAAAAAATCTGGAGTCGTAATCTGGAAAATATTGATGCTAAACGAAATTTTATAAATTATAGAAAAATATTAACCAAAATAATAAATAAAGCCAAAGCAGATTTTTATAAGGAAAAACTAAGGGAACATATTAGTAATCCCAAAAAAACTTGGGATTACATAAAATGTGCCACGAATGACATAAAAAAAACCATAAAAAGTGTAAGACTGGAGGATGGTCAGGACTGTCATGACCCTGAGATTATAGCAAATCGGTTTAATACATTTTTTAGTTCTGTGGGCAAAAAGTTAGCAACAAAAATTAAAAATCAAATACAGCAAACTCCTGATTCTTTCAATGAAAAACCAGTGAAAAGTTCCTTATTCCTGCGGCCTATAACTGAGGAGGAAATGATCAAAGCAATTAATATGTTTAAAAAATCAGATTCAAACACTGGCGATTTCATTTCTAACTCTTTCATAAAACTACATTACAAAACTCTCATTAAACCATTGGTACATATATGCAATCTTGTGTTTGGTCAAAGAGTGTTTCCGGACATATTGAAGACCACTTTTATAACTCCTTTGCACAAGGGAGGAGATCGTAGAGATGTTAATAACTACCGACCAATAGCAATCATTAATTCTATAAGTAAAGTCATTGAAACAAACATTAAAAACAGGATGTGGGACTTTCTCGATAAAAACAAAGTAATTTTGACAAACCAATTTGGTTTTAGGGCGGGTTGTGGCACGGAGGATGCTCTATTTAAGTTACAAGATTGTATTTTTGAGAACTTTAACCAAAATAAAAAAACTCTATCAATATTTTTAGACTTAACAAAGGCTTTTGATACTGTGGCACATCGTACTCTACTAAAAAAACTTGATACCATGGGAATTAGAGGAATAGTAAACGACCTAATTCAATCATACTTAACAAAACGTGAACAAAGAGTTAGATTAAAATCTTTTTGTAGTAAAGAGGAACTTGTGGAGTACGGTGTGCCGCAGGGTAGTGTCTTGGGGCCGCTTCTGTTTATCATGTATATAAATGGTATGAGTGATGTGACATCAGCTCAGGTTATTTGTTATGCGGATGATACTGCTCTGCTTATCAGTGGTGATACCTGGGAAAGCACTTATCGGCAGGCAGAATATGCTCTGAAGAACATAAAGTTGTGGTTGGATATAAATTCTCTCACTTTGAATAGTAGCAAGTCTGCTTTTTTGACTTTTGCGAAGGATAAACGGGGACTTCCAAACAGGCTAGAATTAACAGTACATTCTTACTTATGTGATGCTGATCAAACATGTAGATGTGAGGTGAAGATAAGAAATCAGGAAAATACTAAATATTTAGGAGTTTTCATTGACCAGCATATGAAGTGGAATGTACATGTGGAGTATGTTGCCTCAAAATTAAGGAAACTTGTTTATAAGTTCTATGAGCTGAGAGATATTTTGAATGTTGAAGCTTTAAAAATGGTATATCAGGCTCTTGTAGAGTCAGTAATAGGTTATGGCCTAATTTGTTGGGGAGCTGCCTGTAAAGGTATTATAAATCCAGTAATAATTGCACAAAAATACATACTAAAGGTTATGCTAAGGAGGGGTAAACTATTTTCTACTGATTTCTTATTTAAAAGTACGGACTTATTAACTGTTAGACAATTATATTTAAAAAACATTATTAGGTTTGCACATAAAACAAATTTATTTCCATCTTTTGTTGATCATGAGATTAAAACCAGAGCAATATCCAACTTAAATGTACCCTATGAAACACAAAACTTTTCTATAACCCAGAGATCTATCAGATATATCTGCCCCAGAGTGCTAAATATATTGCCCCTTAAATTTAGACAAAGTCGATCAAGAGAATTTAAATATTGGAGTAAGGAGTTAAGTGAATGGCTGAGAACACACTATGAGAGAATAGATGAAATATTAGTCTTGCTATTGTAATAATTTTAAAAAAATATATATTATAATAACAACAATACACTCAATACACTTAATAATAATAATTAAAAGAAAAAAATTGAAAAACCTGTGTGTTTCTGACAAAAGGGAGAAAAAAATAAATAAATAAATAAATAAATAAATAAATAAATAAAAGGGAGAAAAAAGGGGAAAGGGAAAGGAAAAAAAAAGAAAAAAATAAGAAAAAAACAAAAAAAAAACAAAAAACTTCAAAATAGCATTGTACTTGCACACTGACTGAAACTAAGATATTATGTTTATTGAAATTATTTAGATTTATATGTACACACACAAACCGAAAGGTTAATCGTGTACAAAAGGAATAGTCTTAATTTTGTATTTAATTTTTTTTTTTTGGGAAATAAATATTATTATTATTATTATTAGTCAAAGTTAAACTTCAAGATGCTGTGAAAAGCCTAAATTTTACTTTACAGTGGGCTACAGAGAATGACGTACCTTTGAAAGAAATAATGATGCTACAGAATCTTAAAGAAATTGCTTTTGAAAAACAACAGCACAGCAGTCATCAAAGTAAAATCACCAACTTCTTCCAAGCGGTGCAGAAAACTGAAGAAGTTATATTTACACTTAAGTACCTACATACTTACATATTTCGCACTCTATATAGAATGATTTTTTTCATTTGTCTTGTTTTTCAAATAAATATGAAGCTTTTTTCGCTTAAATACAGCATGTTATTTTTTCAAAATAGTTTTAAAAGCGGACGGTAAAATGCCTTAGTAATCCGAATAATTTGATAATCCAGATCGGTCTGGTTTTAATTGATCCGGATTATCGCGACACTACTGTATTATAAAAGATTTTTTGGTGAAATAAGTAGGCAGGAATTTTTTACTTTGATGACTCAACAACAATGGCAAGCGGTTTTTGAAACAGATCAGAGAGATGTTAATCACTTACAGAAAACAATTCGCAGGTGAATGACACAATGATTGCTGAAAATCCTATGGAAATTGCAAAGAATTACCTCGAGAATTAACTACATTTTTACTTAGTGCAATTCCAGAGTTACAGAGAAAAATCCAACATCTCAATTATAAAATTAATATTCAAGAAAATGATAGATCTTTGTTTTTGAAACCAGTAGAAATTTTACAACTAACAAAAAGAATAAAAAACAAACACAGCTCTGGTGATGATGAACTACCCACAAGTCTCATCAGTCAGATTATTCCAGCAATCATTGATATCTTATGTTACATATTAAATAATTCACTTGGGGAGGGCATTTTTCCTGATAGTCTGAAACTGGCAGCAATTAGGCCTCTGTATAAAAATAAGGAAGATAAAAACATGTTTGACAATTCCAGACCTATAAGATAAGTCTTCTTTCCAGATTCTTCAAGTTATTTGAAATTGTTATCTGCACAAGAATAATAGATTTTCTGAATGATTGTTATGTTTTTTTCTGATAATCAACATGGTTACTTGGTGAAAAAATCCATACTAACAGCAATTTTTCAATTTACGCATGCAATTTTGAATCATCTTGAAGATGGGGAATATGGGGACATGGCTCAACAAAGTGAACAAAGTTTGTTACTGCTGATAAATTGAACAAAGTTTGTTACTGTATCCGTTCTTCTGTACTGTGGCAAAGTATAATTTGGATGAACGTGCAAAAAGAACCGTGTATTTTGCAAACTTTGAGGGAAGAGCTAGGTAAAGTTCGCCTTACGAGTCTAGCACAATATTGTCTATTTGATTTCCAATAGAAAATACTTTAATATTTATCTATGTTACACACCTACATTTATAAGAAAAAAGTAATATTTAAAAACGCTGCCTACACGCCTATGACAGGCAGCATAAAACTCGAAATGGATGGCGTTATTCCCCTTTGCCCTTCAGACGTCGTAGTGCTAGACTCGTAAGGCGAACTATATGGCATAATCTACTGGGCAGCACACTCTAGGGTGCAGCACATTATTATTGTTTAAAAACGGGTGATTCCAACTATTTACAAAATGCTTCCTTCACAATCCTGCCGACATGTAAAGATCTAAACATTTTTCAACAATTTTTGGTTTGTCCATATTCGGAACTTCTTTGATGCCCTGGGTAGTCATAATTATAATACCCGCACGAACAATATCAGTTTTATTGTGCATAGACTGACACTGGCAGAGAAACATCCTTACTATATGGGTATAAATAAGACTTTCCAACAAAGAAAGCTTTTTCAATTAACTTGGAGCTTGGAGCCATATAGTGTATAGTTTTGTTGTTGGAGTGGTACGGAATTTTTAGATTTTTTGAGAGCTGGTATAAAGATTATATCTGTGATGCTAGAACACCAATTATTGTAGCCTAATAATAATTATTCTTAAAATGCTTTCAAGGGAAAGAGTTGAGGGTGCTATAAAAAGATGGAATGAATGGTACAAAAGCGTATAATTTAGTTATCTCACTGAATATAATAATATAAACACAAAAAAGACTTATTAGGCATGATATGGAAATTGAAAATAAAAATAAAGTCCGTCGCATAGTTCTTGAGCTACACTTACTGAATAGACAGAGGGAACAATGGGCTACTGCTGCGTTGTCATATCAATAATATTTATTAATACATGAAAATGAAGGAAATTTTATCGCAATTTTCATGTATTAATAAATATTATTGATATGACAATGCAGCAATAGCACATTGTCCCCTCTGTCTATTCAGTAGTCCTAGCTCAAGAACCATGCCACGGACTTTACTACTGAGGCTAAAAAGATTGGTTGTAGAAACAGGCCAAGGAGGAGATATGGATGGTGCTGCAACAAATTATCCCCCCTTATAATAAAAACGGTTGTATAAAATGTATTGAATCCCAAAATTGTGAGGAGAGTGATAGTAGGTATTGTGTGAGTAAACAAAAAGGATATTATTAAAACAGATTCCAGTTGAGTTACAGATGATTTAAATGCAAGTAATGATGAACAACAAGCCCTTATTTTATGATATGTTAAGCTTAATAATAATTTTACTAGTACTGGAGCTACTACTACTTATTTTTGTAAGTGGACATTGTTATCAATAAATAAATGCCTATAAAACAAGTATAAAATCTTATTAACAAAAATTCATCACACAATGGATTAATAATATTTCAGAATTGTGTCCTGATGTGTTGTAATGATTGTTCAACTTTTCAAGGAAATTAGTGAATTGCTTGCTTTTATTTTATAGTGTGAAAATCATGTCCACTCAACTACAACAATTATTTCTATGAAAAGATGAAAATTGGTAATGTATTTTTGAGGCGCGTGAGTTAAATCAACACAAAAAAATTAATTCAAACATAAAATGTGCAGAACACTGAAACTTTGCATGATCATTCTTTGTACATGCCTAGCCTTGAAAAAAGTACATCGCAATAAACAACGGATTACGTGTAGAATTGGGACTAAAATTAACTGTGTATTGTAGTAACGACAATAATAAAGCAAAATAAGTACAAACCTTTTTAATTTCGGTATCAGACGCACTTCTGCTAACCCCTAAAATATCATAGAGTTTATTGTCTGCCATCTTTCTAAACAAGGAACGGGAAGGGAAAACTGCAAAAGGCTGGCAAATGGCAAATGACAAAGCATTGAGTTTGACAGATAGATGTCAGTCAGTGACGTTACAAATGTCAGCCACGTTTATAGCATATTCTGTTGGAAAAACTCGTGCTACACTCTTGGCAGTTCTCGGGCTGGTTTTTGTGTTCTGGGAACCCGTGCAAACAAGTGCAAAACTGGTGCAGCACGGGTTTCACCAAGAGAAAACGCTAATAGGTTCGGTGATCCAAGCCGAAAGTAAACAGACAGTGGTTATGTTCCGATATCAACGATCAGTACTGAATTAACTGGATGCCGTTCCGATATTTTCAGTATACTTCAGCTTTAGTAAGTTTATCCTGGCTGCGTTCAGGAATGGCTACAGCCAAGCCAAAATTGGCATTTGCGTTCGAGTTTGGCTCCAACCTACGTGTTTCGGCATTACCGGGAGAGGGGGAAAAGTAGGTTTTGGCATTAGCATTGCCATCTTTGAACGCACCCCCTGTATACTGCCTATCCTACCGATCTGACTCTGTCAAGATACACGAGCTGTTTTCTCGGTCTCACTTTTCTGAAACTGGTTCAAAACAGGTTTGAAATAGTGTTCTCGCGATAAACCAATGACGTCACACAAAATTGGTACAAACCGCTTCGGAATACAATCCAATCCAATCTACGTTTTTGAACCATTTTCTTGCGCCGAGAAGTTATGACGTCTTTGTGAAACTGTTTTGAACCCGTTTTGAAAAATGTTTCTATTTTTGAGACGCGAGAAAACACCTATTCTCTTCTACGTCTATACCAACCATGCGTTCGGTATTTAGATCTGAGTTTTCCGAGCGAATATACCGTTCGGTTATTTAAAAAGTGTACTCGGTGCAGGCTCATTCGCGTTCGTTTATTAAAATTTCTGGCACTCTGATACAATGTTCAACTGCTCTGTTCGATCGCTGGTCACGTGGTTACGGCTTCACTCAGCACGCTCTGCTATTTGAGCAAAATACCGAACGCAAGGCAAGGTTGTCTACAAGGATAATATACACTACTACGACAGGATAGTCTATCCTCATAAAGCCTGTGTAGAACAAATCTGAAGCCCCCACCACGCCAAATCATCCGTTGTGACGTAGGCAGCATGTCGTTTCTCGCCTTGACGTAGGCTGTTTGCACTACATATTAATGTTAGTCAAAATTTAATAATATTTTTCATCATAAATTTAAATTCTAAACTACGACCGCTGGCGCAAACAGCTGTCGTCGCTGACGACTTTGTTAATGACGTCGCCAATGGTGATATACCAATCTGGCGGCGATCAAGGATTATACACAAATAAGGATTGCTTATCGGCTTCGTTTTTGGTAATCGCCGCCATACTGGTGTGTCACCATTTTTGACGTCACGACTAACTCGTCAGCTGTTTGCACTAGCTGTCGTAGGGTTGACAAACTATCGAAAAAAAAACTATCGATAGTGATATCGATAGAATGTCCTACTTATCGATAGTAACTATCGATTATACTATCGATAGTTTGCTCCAATGAACTATAACCAAAAACTGGAATGCTAACACATAAGGACGAACTTGAAGCCTAGTGCGGCTGCTGCGGAGGGGATACCTGTTTTTGTCGCACTCATTATGTTAAATGGCGAAAATTGCTTCCAACACGTATTCCAATTGATGAAACCTGTGAAGGGAAATATGACAAACTTTCGAAAACGTCATATGTTAGCGAGCAACAGAAAAAAACAACATTCCCCCTTGTGGCATCTGTCTTTCATGGCTTCATTTTTTTGGCAGATATGGCAATGTGTGCGCATTCCAGTTTTTAGCTATAGTTCATTGGTTTGCTCTGACCAAAGTTACCAAATTTTCAATTAATTACGATAAACATTAACCTCCAACCTCCATCAAGTCCATCAAAGTCACTCCTCCTAACCGAAAAATTGGCAGCATAACATGTCTATCTCCAAAAATAATTACAGATTTTCCAAAACAACTACAGAATTCTTTATATTTCCCTCAATTTACAGATGTTTTCATTTACCTTTGGCTACATTGGAACTATCGATATTGGTACAGGTCTATCGATACTATCGAAAATTAAAAAAATATCGATAGTATCGATATTCCTATCGATAGTTTGTTATCCCTAAGCTGTCGTAGTTGAGAATCTAAATTTATGAAGAAGAGATCCAAAAAAGAGTTGTTTTAGAATGTTAACTAATATCGTAACACCAAGCATAGGCGCCGACTCCATGGGTGCAATGGGTGCGCAAGCACCCATACTGAATATATTATGGGTGCGCAGCACCCATACGAAAAATTTTAAATGTATAATTTCCCTAGTTAAGGTAATGAAAAAATCAACAAAAGCTATTATTCAAAAATTAGTAGTTTTATCGGCACCACAAGGATAATAATATCTCTGTTTCCACAGAAATCACAAACCAGTCAGAACGTTTTTGATTGGTCCAATCAGTTTCTTGACTATTCTTAACTAATGAAATTCGATCTGACTAGTTTGTGATTTCTTTGAAAACAGAGCTAAAATGACACCGGCTATGCCTTTAGATCATAATTTGCTGGTGGATGCATTGTAACGTGCAACCATTTGAACGTGCAACGGATTTACTCTTGGATCCACTATAAGATATACTTGAGGCGATTTTCAGCCTGAAATGATTATTATTTGGTTTTAACAAATGCATTTCCGCTGTCGCGGTTTTTACCAAAGTAGGGGAAGTTGTGACGTCACAGATCAGCTGATTTGCTTCTGGTATTTACCACTTATAACAGAAGTGCCCTACACTGCTATAACCAAATTATTCCAGCGGTCAGTTCCTTGGGTTATGATTCTTGAATGGTGGGGGGCTATGACGTCATACTTGGCTGTCAAAATAGTCAACCAAAAGAATAACCACGGTATTTACCGATAAATAATCATTCCAGGCTGAAAATCGCCTTTAATTGTTATTACTACCATTACTATAATCACTGTGACTGCCAAATTTATTCGCGTTGTGATACACCCCTATACAGGGTGGTTTACGTAGCCCCTTCATTAGGTTGCAGATGGATTAGATGCTATTTTTACTAATCCACCTGCAATCCAATTGAATTTTAATGCACGGGCTACGTCAATCACATAGTGTATAGATGGAATCGCAACATTTTGCAACTCTCTATTGTCATGGTTCCGCGCCGCGGGTCACGCGCGTCGGTCCGATCTACGACCGCTGCGATAACGCAAGCAGCGCTCACAATAGGACTTTTCAAAAACGCTGTTCCGATTTGCCCGTTCACCAGCTTTCTGTTTTTCAGCTTTCTTTAAAGAACGCGATTGAAAAAAGAAAACTCACATCAGTTGGTGATCGGGCTAATCGCAACACCGTTTCCGAATACGACTACTATGACCTTGATTCGAAAAATACCGACAGATGAGCAATCCTGTGTAGTGTTAACAAACTTTGGTATCTTGGGTCCGATCCAAGAGGTCCAATCAGCGGGTCGAGTAGCTGTTTAATATCGGCGAAGAGTGCACTGTTCGGTTTGGCGCCCTTTGCATTTCTGGGAATCCCAGTCCCCAATTAACTGACTGGGGACTGAGATGTCTGAACTCAGCTAGTTCAATTAGTTGTCTAGCCATGTTTGGATGTTTGGAACCTTGAAGCTTCTATTTAAGAGGTGTTATCATTGTTATCAATAGTGTCAAGTGTTTCTCTGACTTGAGCCTAGTACTCATAACTGCGAAATTCGCACTTTTTTGACATTGCTTCGACAATTTGACGTTTGATTCACGCATAAAACGTCAATTTGTCAAAAAAGTGCGAATTTCGCAGTTATGAGTAGGTCCTAGGCTTTAGGAAATTTTCCGGTAGATATTTGGGTAGTTTACCGGTTCGAAAGCTTGAAATCATTTTTGGGATTGACACCAAAAAATAAATAAAAAATTGGGAAAAAACCTATTTTATGCCGCCTTTGGATAAGCACCCATACAGATTTCAGAAAGCCGGCGCCTATGACACCAAGTATGCGTGAAGCGAAAGCCCGCGGAATCATAAAATGTGATGCAAACAGCCTACGACAAGGCGTGAAACGAAATGCTGCCTACGTCACAACTGGTGATTTAGCGTGGTGGGGACAACTATCAAAGTAGTTTTATAATACCCACCTTAGTAGTGTGTATTATCCTTGGGTTGTCTATACCTCCACTCTCCACGCAGTTCCAGAATGATGTCATCTATTCATTTGCCTAACAGTAACATCTCTGTATCGAGGTCAATCGAGGAAAGGAAAGGAGGCTGAGTACATGTGTCCGAATAAGGAAGGAAACAATGTGTATTATTTTAGCCTACACTGATTTCCATTCAATCCAATAAATGTAATTTTACATGAAATACTTACACATTGTTTCCTTCCTTAACATCTCTATGCCCGTCTAACTGCACTGCGACCTGAACGCAGCACCTTAGACCGTTCAGCTTTCCTTTCCTGCCTTTCCAGAGCTACCGTGATGTCTGCATGGCTCTTCTTTCCTTGGATCGATGTCATTGATACTACTACAAGCATGGCTGCCTGTTTCCTGTTGACTGAGATGCTGCCAACTGTCTTTTCTGCGCCTTCGTGGATGGTCGCACTCCTCTTAAAGCCCGGGACACATATATCATGCATTCTTCCGATCCGACTCCGATCATACAATCAGAGTCGTTATTCTTGGAACAGGGAACAACGTTCCCAAGGAGAACGAGTGTTCCGCTGCTCCCCTGTTCCAAGAATAAGGACCTTGATTGTATGATCGGAGTCGGATCGGAAGAATGCATGATAGATGTGTCCCTGGCTTTATGGGAATCTGCAGACTGCAAAGCCGCCGTTTTCTTTTCCACATTTTGTAACTCTATCCACGGCTTCGTTAATGTCGGAACATGGTTCGAGGTCGAGGTCACCCTCTTCCAGTTGATCACTTCCCAGCCGTTTGGGATTCCGTTCATGATCCGCGGGGGCATGCTCGGCGTTGCAAGTTCTCAATCGAAGGTTGACA